TATATATATATATATATATTAGTGAGAGAGAGAGAGAGGATTCAAAATCATATTCACAGAGAAAAGAGAAAACCATTGATTTATAAGCTACGGAAAACTTTTCTGCAAGCCACCACACATGAAAGTTGGGAAAAATTCAGCTTGTGGTCTTTATGTCGCTTGACAAGCATGGAAAAAGATGATACAAAACACGTGCCAATTACTGGTGTGATGATACTAATGGATCATTCTTTTTGGTAAACAAATGGTGCTGTGAGATTGTAGTCAGTTCCAGACACTGATTAAATTTAGTTCAAGATTTGGGTGCTCCAAATGTCCATAAATCATTATGTCACTAATGGATGCTTTATGAAACCACAACCAAATCTTTACTGTTACTAGCCAACAACTGATTTATGAAATCATCTTTGAGTACCTTTTTTGGTCCAATAGTTGCCTGAATATCAGTATTCTATACCTTCTATATAAATCATGTTAGAGCTATGGACTCATACATGCTTCGCAATGCCTACCATATTCATTATTAAAAAAATAAGAAGAAAACTGATAGAAGTAGAAGAGAGTGAAGAGTGATCTCTTTCTATCAACTGAAACAATATATCAGAATTATAGAAACGGTAAAATGATTTTACACCAGGGGGTGGGAAGAAAGGGGAGGGGGGAGGCCATGATGTGCTTCCTGGTGAGAGCGCACACACACGACCAGATTCATTTGATAATAGAAAGGGTAAAATGATTTTAGACGAAAGAGAGGGGAGAAAGGGGAGAGAGAAGCCATAATATGTTTCCAGGTAAGAGATCATGAATATCTTAGTCCTCAAATGTGTTTCTGCTTCACTTTCTTTTGTCTACCTATCTAACAATTTCAGGATTTTTTTTTTGCGTGCCTATCTATCTGACAAGTTCAGTAAAACAGTCCGGGTACATTTCTGGTAGGAGTTTATCATTGGTCAATTGAGAAAGTTAAATTGATATATGCACAACAAGTTCAAGATACTTATCCTCTCTCAAACATTTACTCTAAGAGAGAAGGTAAAAAAACTGTGTTTTATAGTGTATATATTACCTCCTTGAAGCATCTACAGGTAAATGACCATACAGAGGATCAAGGTTAAATTCTCGTATATACAATTCTAAGACATCTATCTACATATTAATGTATGCATATATTGGGGTAATATTTTACATATCCATGAAGGAATATGAAATTTAACATAATATTGTTTGTTTTAATCCCTACTTGATTCAAAAAGCAATCATTCGAAACCGATATTGTCTGCCCAAGCAAACAAATATGCAACGATAATTTAGTAGTTAGCTAACATAACATTACCACTAGACATGATATATAACAAATTATTGTCCATGTTATACAAATTTGCTCTTGTCAAAGTAGATTTGAGAATATACTATCATTCCATTGAAAAAAGCACTTGAATAAAGTCCAACATAGATGTTGGACTTCAAGACATCAAATGGCTAGTGCGTTGTTGCACAAGTAATTGATCAAATGAAGTCAAATGTTTGAAAATCTTATATGCTGTTTAATGTAATGAATTTTTTTAAAAAAATCCAACATAGATGTGTAAGGTATATTGTATAGAACAGATGGAAAATCATTGTCTTACTCACCAAAGACTTTGTACTGATGGTTTCTGAAATAGAATCTAAAAGTTGCTGACACCTTTTAAATTGATTGGTCAATTCAGTAACCTGGAAAAAAGGATAAGAAAAATAATCTGCCTGCTAGTTAGAAAGCCAAATTACTAGATGTACGAAAAATTCTATATATAATCAGGTAATAGGCTTGTCATCAACCATTTTAAAGAAAATGAATCAGAGAACATGCAAAAATATCTCAAGCTTATTGAAATTGCTACTGCCATATGGGGAGGAGAGACAGAGATTAACCAGAGCCTCATATTGTTGATCACGACCTCCGCTATCAATTGCATCGGCTAACCTTTCCACCAACTGCAAAAGACAAGAGGCAAAGCATCAGCAAGAAAAACTGGCAGTATAGGACATCCTCCAGACACAACTACAAATATAGCTTAAGATTTTAGCAGATACTTATCCACTTCCAAATGACCATGGGTTCAATATAAACACTTTCTCTACTTCAAAGAGGTATTTCTCTAATCGAATTCCTTTTCATCAGAAACAGTAATCGAGTTCTCAAAATAATTTCCTCTTTTCATGCATGATCTTCGATGAAGTAATATATAAAGATTCGATCAACCTTATCCAAAAACGATCCACCGAACTTTGCTTCGATCTCATGTTTCAAAATAAAAAAAATATGAGCATTTGGTAGAAGAACGAACGCTAGTATTAATCGGACTACTAAAACAAAAAAAAAGGATATCATCGACATAACCCTAACAAAAACTGAAAACATCTACTCGAATTAGACCTTGATCGACCGTCTATTTTATCGATCATAAGTTCAACCGAGTCTACAGTAAACCTGAATCAAGAAACGAAAACAGACCTGACTTGGGGCGAAACAGACCGGATGAGAACACTTACGGAGAGGAGATGGAAGTGAGAAGCCAAGGACGGGTGGTGATGGTGCTGCTGCTGCTGCTGCTGGGGCTGCTGTTGAGGCTGCGACAGTAGCGGCGGCGGCGGGTACTGAGGTTGGAGAGAGTGGAAATCCTGATTGAGAGGGTTCTGATTTGGGATCATCATCCAACTCCCCCCATTGTACTGGTGATCCATCTCCTGCACACGCACTCCTAATCAGAAGAAAGCCCTCTCGTTCCCCGTTCTGCAGCGACTTGACAGACTCGAAAACCTTTTTTCCAAGTATCATTATTATTATATGGGCCTTTATGAGTTGGGCTGATGGAATGAGTTCTGAGGGCTTTTTACCGTAGAATTGTAGTGTCGAGTAGCTATAGCCAATTGCGTGGCTTTTATGCACTCAGGATTCGATCGTATAGGATGTGACGCACGAACGAGTCTTGTAAAGTTCAGTACCATCATATGGCATCGCATCTCGATAGAAACAAAGACCATTCGGCTATGCTTATACGAAAGTAGCTACCAATCTTCAAAAAAATTCCAGCTGCATATCTGCCTTGTGAAGATGAAGCTGAAAAGTTGCCGGTAAATTGTTTTGGACAGAGCAACGTATTTCTATTTTTTCTGTGCAGGCTAATGAATTACCAGCTTCTACCTTGCTAGAATTCAATTGATACACGACAATAGCATGAATAAATTTTCTCAAACGGAGTTCCCTTTATCAGATTGTGTTGTTTTCAGTGGATTGATGTAAAAGATGCGATGCATGCATGCATGCTCAATAAAGTTAAACAAATAAAAAAATTAAACAAAGTTCAATTGAGAAGACAGGCATGTCAGTTAGGCTTCAGAACAAAGGCACTTCGTATATAGCAAACCCCGGACCCAAACCCTCTAAATAAAGCAGCACCGTTTGCTATTTTTGCAATTCTCTCTCATACGAACTGCGGTATCATAACACCAACAGCTACACGATATGAATACATTTATAGACTCTTCTTACCACAACGAAAACGCCATCTTCGCTGAACACAAAGCTATTGCAATTGGGCGAAACGATATGAAAAAAAATTGCAAACGGCATGTCATATTCTGTTACTTGGTCATCATTTTCTCAGAGGACTCGAATACTCATCCCCATCCTCTGTTGAACTTATGTTAGAAGATGGATCCGATGTTGAATTGCTACGTATGCTGTTCCTAAATACTTTTGAATCCAGTTCGGGTTTGCTCTGGGATGGTGGAGCTGCAGCTTGTTGACCCTCTTCTGCTAATCTCTTAAGGATGTTCATTACTGTTGGGAGAAACTTTGTGGACAAGGAGAGAAGCCCAGGAAGCTGTCAAATAAAGAATTAACAAGGTGCAATTAAATTAAAATGGTATCTTTAGCTTTGTCGAAAAATGAAATGCAACTGGAACTCTGATTTATCACTCACAGCGCCATTTTGAAATGCACCCGTGATGTCTAGTTGAACCCAAATGGCTTTGCCCACTAGAAAGACAACAAATATAACACCCAGGTACAAAGGGTTTCTGCAAAAGTACAACATAAACATTATTACCAGGAGGTAGGGAACCTTGTACTTTAACAAAAAGTCATAACTTTTAAGTAAATTTACCTAAGAAGTGTCATGAACTCATTAAATCCCAACACTAAAATAGCAGCAATTGCCCATGGAGGGGGTAACATGCTGTTGTTACGCTTATTGGCTTCCTGAAATCAGCAAATATTGCAAAGGATGTAAAGGATGTAAAGGATAAAAGGTTCTGTTAAATGATCTGTTATATAATGGCTGACCTGATACCAGAAGAACACAAAGAAACACAACAATGTAGCATTAAAATTTTATGGAACAAAGAAATGACGATACTTTTAAGCACTAGAATTAGACCATAAACTTATATCAAGAATCAAGATACTGCATGCTTATATCAAGTCATTGGAAGTCAACTACTCAACCATATTATGTCATGGGTGTTTCCACAAACTTTGCAATTTGGCAATCATCCCCCATTCCTCTATCGAGTATATAATCCCAATGAATACCAATTACTCCGGGGCTAAGGTGTGCACACCAACTCATTTCCATCAATGTGTTAGGAATAGGCTAACTGATATTACAACTACTGTACCATGTGTGAATATGGTCATCAAGCCATAGACATCAAAATATTTTAAAGATACAAAGCATCAAACACTCCACACATATACAAACCTTGAACCTGAAGAAAACAAGGAGAAAATGAAAATATACTTGCGATCTAAACAACCATGCATAAGCCTGCAATTTACCATTAACCATCTTACTGCTGCTTTCACAACTGAAGAAACAAATGTTTTAGGTGAGTGCCCAAACTAAGATGTACAAAGAGGTGGTAAAAGCTAAATGTCAACCAAAAGAAAACTCACTCCATCCCTGATATAGGACAACCTAAGGGTAATAAGCTTAGGGGTCTAAAAGTGAGTTGGTTTGCAGAAATGTCAAATCAAACAATGAAACAATTAGTATAACTTCAAACACATACCAGTTTGAAGAGGAAGATATCGATCCATCCTTTTCTTTACTATTTTGACTTTTTATGAAGTTGATCCATGAGTCTCCAGTACTCGCAACTCCAACAATGTCAGACTCTTAGCAATTTGGAATTTAGGAAGCTTGCAATAGTAGAATCTAGGTGGTAGGATAGTTGGGGAAGAGAGGAGGAAGAGAAATTATTGATGACTTGCTTCAAGTCCTCCAAACTCACATCAAGGGAAAGTTTATGACCTATACAGCTCACTCATATATATTGTGGAAGAAGAAATTCATTCATACAATTAATAATGGACGTCCCAATTACAATCTCTTTCCCTCTTTTTAGAGATTCAAGTACAAAAAGAAAAGAAGGATAAAAATATAATTATGTCAAGGCTAATCAATCATTTATTTTTTCCTTCTCTGGAGAAGTTAAATTTCAAGATTAATCTTGGCAAATAATCTTTGGTTTGGATATGTGAGTGATGGTCTTCTATTTTTACAAATTACAATTACATGAAACTTCCTTGTAGAGATTGAAATTTTAATCAAGCCAGATTTTGATCCTTCCATCTTTTTCGTCATCCAGTTCTTCTTTCTTCTCCTTGATAAATCTAAGAAACAAAGGTATAAATATACAATATGTTGTCATATGATCTAATTATTTGCAAAAGCCCTCTCTAAAAGACTTACCACTATTCCAAAGGAGAAGAGAAAAATTAACTAGACTAAATTAAAAACAAGTCAAGTTAATCTGAACCCAAGTTCAAACCATTCAAAAGGGATTTGGGTTGATCCTTCTTTTCATGCATAGCATAGATCTGGAAAATGTCTCTACTTCCATCAATCTCATTCCCCATCCTTTCTTTACCTTTTTCCTTCTTATGGTCAATGACTGATTTTGCAAAACGAAGACTCATTATGGGCCTAGCAACATGGGGCAGACCAACTTCATAAACCCAATATATTATGAGTTGTTCAGTTGGGACAATTGGCGATATAAGCAGGCAACCCCAAATTTGTATGTTATGATATGTGTCATGCCCTTAATCACCAGGTTATCTAAGTACTTCTAAAAGCAATAGAAAATCATGCATAACTAAATCTTCCTAAGATAAATTATAAAATGGCAACTATAGTTTGCAAGACTGGACTAAAATTGCAAGTTAGAGGACATGCCTGAGCAGCAATGGCCTGAGTAACAGTGTACTCTGTTTCTGCCTTGAATTGCCTCCACAAATTTTTGCACTGGACTGGTGAAATCAAAGTTTTCGCAGATGGAACCTGGTGAAAAACAAAGCAGTTCAACTTGGGGCCAAAATCATATTATAAATTTGTCATAACCAAAGAAGTGGAAAGTGATGCACATTCCATCAAAATGAAACATGAGTTTCAAAAGCTGAAAGAAGAACACCATGTTGCGATATCTAAAGTGACCGATAATGTAACCCTACATACTACGGATACATTGTAATGACTTAGCAGAATTCACTGTCTTAAAAACACAACTTCTCCATCAAAGTCTACATTATTTTAGAATCCGAGATCTTACATGTTATCAGGATGTGATATTTCAGCTGGAACTCAAACAATGTAATCGAAGTCAGAAGCACTTGGGAGTGCAGACAATATTAGTTTATACACTAATGATCCAAGCAGTAAGTTATAACTTGAAATGAAAAATATTCAAGACTGTTGTGACTACAACATTGAGTCTTTGATATGCCTTAGAAACCTGAATTCAAACTAAAAATAAAATAGTTGAGGACCATAGATTATTAGATCATCATTCCATATGAAGAACTGATCCAACGACAACAGAAACAAGCCATAATGTCCTAACATATGAACACGAGTCTCACATTCAAAATGAAGACTATGAGATGCTGGATCACAATTCTATCTGTATATTTGGCACTTCAACTAGAATTGTGTCACATGAAAAAGTGACAAGATCATTAATCACCTCTTGCCATGAGCTTGAAGCCAGTGGATCTAATGACTGGATACTTCTATTCTTAACACCATTGCTGGAAGCATCTACCAAAGCAAGCAAAAGAGTTTCCTCAATTTTATCCGTTTCCTCGTCCAAACGAATAGCAGCCATAACAGACAGCAACTTTAGAGACTGCAAAAATATGTCAACAACGATTGACAAACAAACAGTTATTTTGAAATCTAAGGTGACAAATACTCTAATTGTGAGAGCAATTTTCCATGACATACTGCAGAACGTGCAGATTTTGTTATTGCTTTTATGTCTTCTTTTCCCGTCCAAATTCTTGGCATAGAGTCAGCATCACGGCTGAACAATGTAGAGAATCTGCATTTGAAAATAAAAGAAAGATAGTCATCCTGATGTCCAAACTCTAAGCAAAGTTCAGAAGTACCGATAAATCATATTATGTACTACCTATCCTTCATACGGATCAGAACTCTTCCAGCCTCTTCTCTTGCCTTGGATTCAACAACATTTTTACCATACTCCTTTAGTTTCACAAGCATTTTATCCACAGTTGCCTGGTCTAGTGCAAATGTTGAAAGGGCAGAAGCAAATCCTGAGACAGCTGATTCAGTCTCTCGCTGAAGAAGTTCTCTTACTGCAGGCCAGGTATTATCACTAGCCGCATCAAGAAGAGCTTCAACTGGTTCTGCAAGGGCTTTATTAAGTTGTCCCTGCAAGTAAATCAGATTACTAATTCCAATGATAATACCATCCTTAAATTATTCATCCTTCAATCTCTTTCTGTTTTGAAAAAAGAAAAAGAGAGATTCACAATAAGACCACCAACTTAAAGTAAATAAACAACAAAAGCCTACCATACCTCAAATAGTGCAGTAAGCTCAGAAAGTTTTGCAGTACGAACTGAAGCTAGATGGGTGTCAATATCACGTTGAAGCTTATCCCGAATTTTGGAAGGATCCCAGTTTGCTTGTTCAATAGCTGCATCTGTAACCCCCCCAAAAACACAATACAACCACAAATCAAAATACAAGCACATAGTTACAGAAAGTAACCATACGTATTACATAATTAGATAAAGTTCAAAAAACTCATGTACCTTCACAGCATCTGTCAAATTTGAACATGGAAGATTGAGTGCATTCAAGAGCAGCAACAGCAAATCCTTCCTTTTCAAGGGCCTTATCAAAAGCTTCTTTAAAATCATCTAAAACTTTGGACCGTATATGGCCCAACATTGTTTGATAAGCAGGACTGACCAACTGAAACAAGCAAAATGTGTCACTGAGAAGGAGAAAACTACAAACATCTTTAGTTTGAGAAAAAAATTTCTCGGCAAAATATTACCAAAAAATTTATGACACACAGATCCAGTCTATGATACAAGAAGAAAATTTATGAATTCAAGAATTCTTTTTTTCCTAAGAAGACCCTTAAGCAATCATAGAATATCATGAACATTTCCCCATGACAAGGAAACTCAATCCAGCAAATCTGAGAATCATATACTCTTTCACTTTGACATTTACCAGATGCATTAGCACCCTGTATAAGATGTTATAAGTATAACTGTAATTAATTTAATACAACCTAAGACTAAATTCAACCTTATTTGTAATGTAGGGATTGGTGCAACACGAGGTTGATCCTCCGGTAATCGATTAAGGATTAGGCTGAATATTCATGTGGTGGGAACCTATGGAACCTATTGCAAAATATGCAGCATCACCCTTGAATCAGTAAGGAAGAAATGAAGAAAAAAAAAGAGGAGGGGACTTGAAACTTCTGAAAAATTAATGCCAAAGAATATGCTTTGTGCCGATTCACTATCCAACCTCCAAATGACAGCTTTGGAAAACAGCAGATTAGTGCAGAAGGCTCCACCCACCGAGGGTTTCAGAGTGAAGTGAAAACCAAGCTAAATGTCTCTAATCAAATTTTAAAATTCATTAGCACCATGCAAAATTCAAACAGATGAGATCCATATGGAGATAAGTTTCATATTCCTTTGATCAAAAGATATATTACACATTTTTACTATTAATCCAAGAATACCAATGTTCCTTACAGACTGGAGACAATGATATCTTTTCAATTTGGAAATATATAAATTCAATTGATATAAATTATGAGCATATATATTGAACATATGCTATGAACAAAATACACAGTGCCTACCAAGCATTTCTACATTTGCAAAATTCATCTACACTGATGGAAGACACATTTTATTAATGATAAATTTTCTACCAATTTCACAGGTTTCATTTTAGCTTAAGTCATTGCCCAAAAAACAAGTAAGATACTAGATTTATCATCTTGATTATTGTACGAAAAAAGTTATTCCACTCAAGTTAGTGAAAATTTTCTTAAGAAAAATTATTAAATATGTTCAATGGCATGGAAAATCATACATCAAACGTTCTGTACACATTCCCTTAACATCAGAATTCCCTTGAAATCCAGCTTCTACATTTGAAGTGAAAAGAGACAGAAATATTGCACAAAAGCATACATCTTACCCACCTCAACCAGAAAATAGCAAGCCCAAGCTAACATAAGTAGCTTAACAGATGTTACTACAGTCACATTTACATTAACCCGTTTTGTTAATGTTAAGAATCATTTGCTTGGAAAAGATCACATAAAGCCCCAGGCATACTACATGCTAAATAAAGTTGTCAAAATTTTCAGTTCACCCTGATACTCCTTTTTTGGGCTTAATACAAGGTTAAATAAATAATAAAATTAGGTTACCACAACGACAGAAAATTTGAAAGAAGCTTCTAAATAAGCAACCATTGAATATAATTAAATGTTCCAATTTGTAAAACAAGAGTACATATCCTTAACAAGATATCTTAGTTCCCACTATCTAAGCTGACAATTACCAACTATGATCGGGAGATAATTACATGAACAACAATCAAATTCTCACCTAATAATATAATATGTAGTATATTATAATGGTTTATTAGTACCAGCAATGTTGGCTCCACGAAAATTTAAAAAAAGAACAATGATACTAAGAGGTAAAGACCATTAAACATAAGAACAATGGTATCTTTTATGCAGGAAAGGCATACTGAAGTGGTAGGTAGATACCACAAAGAAATATAATGCTATTAAGGCTTAATGTGATGGGATTCTCTGTGCAATAAGCATGTATAGCTAGAAGATCATGTCAACAAAATGGTATGCTATCAAGAATTTTGAGCATTTAAATTTACCTGTATAATAACAAACCTATTAACTGAAAAGTGCACCAGCCTGGTAAATGCAAATGAACTTGACCTATAAGCTGTTGCTCAGAAGAGAATAGTACCTGCAGAAGTTTTGATTCAAGTTGCTGCCTCTTTGAAGTCCGGACAGCTTCCTCAAAGTAAAAAGCTTCTATGTCATATCTGTCAGAGCAGTATATTTAACAGCTTAAAAGCAGGACATAGAGCATTAAGGAATAATGACTAATTCCACCTTCTGAACAAGTCAAAAACCAATAAAGAACAGAAGTACAAGATTCAACAGCTCTGAAACAAAACTAAAACTGTAAAACCATTAAAAAATATTTGCTCCTCGATATGAAATAGTGCCTCAAAAGAAAAATACCTTAACAATGGTCATTTGAAAGGCAAGATTTTTTTGTAATATAATTAGATTTAACAAATTTGTAGGGATTTGTACCTACATTTAGGCATACAAATTACAAACTACGAACTTTACAAATAAAATAATATAACCCCTACATCATTGCATGACAAAAGAAGTCCATTTTGATGCATCCAAAAGAACTAAACAACACCACCTGTAAACATAGAACAAATAATTATCAACTCCCTCTAAATTTGCTTATGCAGCTCTGAAATTTATAGACTCAAATATCATGAACCCATGCATGCTTGTTTTCATAGAAACACAGGCAGACACACACACACATATATATAGGAAGCCTCCTGGGTACAAATAGTTGTTAAGAATATCTTTCCCTGATTAATTCTATCATCACTGTCCATCTGCTGTCCCTTAACCATGGTTTAGTTAAATGACTAGTGCATCTTCCTTTAAGACTAACAGTTACTTAGACCTTAAAAAAATGATATCGTAGCAAATTAGTAATGGGATTCGACCAGATTAACAGATCAAGAAAACAGAAATAGTGTGTGTAAGAGAGAGAGAGAGAGAGAGAGAGAGAGAGAGAGAGAGGTGGGGGAAGGGGGGAGAGAAATAGTGATCAGGAACGATCTCAACAGCACTCAACCAGTCAAGTCAACCCCTATCTAAGGGCCTCTTGAAGCCTCAAAGCATTATTCGGCCAAGCAAACCCATATTGCAGCAGCTAACTCACCTCAATCTCAGTCCTAGCAGAACTACGATTAGAACAGCCCTCACCCAAATAGCAATAGCCACCAAGCAAGAGAAACACACTCCTGCTTGGAATAGGAGAAGGTTGTGTGCTAGCTCTACAAGGAAAGTCCTAAAACCCTTGGGACTCCACCCTTATTACAGTTATAAAAGAGCGACCCATCTAAAGCATCCCCAGTCAGCTCGATCATAATCCTAGCAGGACAAGGATTAGGGCAGCCCCTAGACAATTATGGCACCCCCAACAAAAGACTCCTGCGGCTGCAAGGAACTAAGAAGTCCTAATCAAAATAAGACTTTGGACATCCATAATCCTATAAATCTAAGGGGTTGCAACCCCCTTGAAAGCATCCAAGTCATGCCCCCTCTTGAGTGACTAGTCGACTCTAAGCTGAGAAGATAGGAGAGAAAGAGAGGAAGGAGGTTGTAAGTTCAACAGCCCTTCATCTTGCTTGCAGGTACATTCCTGTAGAGATATTTTCTGAATTGTTGTTGGCCTTAATAGCTTCCAAAGATACCTTTGGCAACAACAACAAGAAGAAGAAAAGCAACCAAAAGTAGCCAAGAAGTCTCACAATCGACCCTAGCCTTCCAGCTTGTGCCGAAAGCCAAAAGAAGAGGAGTTTAAAAAAGGGTTCTGCCCTCCAACCGCAACACCTTTTTCCTCAAGTTCCAGCAGCTGAAGTCCATCTAAACTTCGTCTAACTGCTATGAGAAGACCCAAAGCCCAGCTACACGCTATCCAAACCTTAGACAACAGCAAGAGAGGAGGAGACTGAAACCAACAGCGATCCTCAACCTGCCGAGAGCACCCAACGATAACTCTCTCCGTCAAAACTTCCATCGAAGAGGTGGTATCAGATTGACGGATTATCAAATACAAATCCCATACGGATTAAAGAGAGGGGAGGACAGAGAGTGAGAAAGCAAAACAGAGAAACACAAAAAATAACAGACCCCAAAAACAATCAACCAGGCTTGGTTTCTCTCATTCTGCCAATACTAGAGGGGGAAATAGGATTTTGCTGTGAGAAACTTAAAGCTGGATATTGGAAGTTGGAACAGCCTGTGTTTTGTTGAAGCCTTTGCCTACTATTTGGCATAGTCACTTGCCAGTACAGGCCCTGGGGAGGATGAATGCATGCCAGCCTATCCTTCACAATAGACAAGTCCATGGGTGCAAGGTAGGCAGAGGCACATACAGCACCTACCTTGCCAACCTAAGGGCAACACATGCTCAATACAAGGCATTGGATGTGCAAGGAGACAATCTCAAACAGTATGAAACCATCAATCAATGTTCCTTGTGAAAAAAAAAGAGAACAGAATACTTGAAAGTTGAAACTACTATTGATACTCCAAACTTCAACAGGAAAATTCCAAACAAAAAGAACACTGACCCAGCCAAGCACTTGTCCAGAATTGCAGTAATCTTCTTCCCAAAACCTGGCACTATATCATGTTGAACAGCCTCTTCAAGTTGAACCCATTCCTGTAATGCAGATGAATTTAAGCAATTAATGATTGAAAATGTCACATAGATATAGACAAAATTTACGTTAGCCATCAACAACCTTATCAGCACTTGTGTAAGCAAGCTTTTCATTAGCAATTTCTTCGCAACGTACTGTAGCCACCATAACCTACAAATGCAGACAAATACTGATAACTGGATTGCTGATAGAGCAATTAATGAAGCAACCAGATCATCACCTTGTGTGCAGGAAGGTCAAGGTCCTTGTTCTCCTTTATAACCATCCATATCTGTTGAGCACTAAACGAGAATCCTGATGCTGGAACAACACCCCGTCGGTCCCCAGCAAGTCCACCGGGAGCAATGGAATGGTAAAATCTTTGCCTTAAAGAGGCAACCTTGTTCATCAATAACAAATATAAGAAACAAAAAGAAGGAATATCCCCAAAGAACTAGATACCAACAAACTTCTTAAGTATCTTATAAAAAAATGCAGTTCTTGATTATATGAGTGGATCCAAATATATTTTCCAATAAAAAGTGAACCAAGACAAGAAGAAAAAAAATAAGCTAGCCCATCAAAATGATGGTTTATAGCAGCAGAGAGTATGTAATTTGCTCAACAATCTAAATTTTACATGTATCACATCATTGTGTGAAATGAGCTGATTAAGCAATATAGTTTGGCTCTCACCCTTGAAGTGAAAAACAAATATAAGCAGCTGCATCAACAATCCTCCGCGAATATCAACAATTACTACTACCAACCATTAAGTCTACCTAACAAGTTAGCAATACCCTAGAATCTCTCAAATACTATGATACTGTTTATTCTTCAAAATTAATACCAGAGATTCAAGGCCGATGCAACCAAAAGAATGAAGAAGCTTTCCATGTTTCGCCAATTGTAAGTTCACATATTTGTTAGGTATTCTAAGATACTGTTATTCTTAAGATCATTCTCCTAGTCACATTTTGTATATCCTATATCCTGTCCATTTTATGGAGTTCTAAAGGTTTGAGTAAAGTGGTGTCCTATCTTGTTGAATTTCAATAAAGTATGAAAATTAATCAATAAGCCCAGGAATCCATGTAATCGCAAAATGTGTTCCTTTGTGGTTTATAATAGTGGCTTACAAGGAGTTACAGATTATTTAGAGTCATACAATAACTAGGTAACTACGTCATCATGTATGTTTAAAATTATGGCTCTATGTTTGTTGATATATTTTAGAGAACAATCGCTATAATCAATAATTGAAGCAGATCTCACTCCCTCACTTTCACAATATACAGAACCCTCGTCATGATTCAAACCATACTCATGATTCTACAGGCAATGAGTGCTTTTAAGACACACTTCCACTTACAATCAGAGTTGTTATTTAAAGGCAACTTGACTGCATAGGGTCATGCAAATCACATGGACTGCAAGCAAATGTTATCTTATACTAGATCAAATAAAGGAAAATGATATACAACTACCACTACTACAAATAAATTAGAAGTTGACTTCAATTTGTTGGAGTATGTAATTATGTGACAACAGACCTGCTCTCTAAATAGCACTTCCTTCTCTTCAAAGCTTGAAAGAGCCACTACTTCCACCTGCAAAAGTTATGATATGAAATAGAAAGCTCCAAATGCATCTTTATCAGCAAGGAGAGAAGTAAAGAAAGCTTAATAAATTACATTGAAGAATTCACTAAGAGGAGTTTCTTTATGAGCTTGCGGTTTAGGTACATTATCCCATATCTGCAAAAGAAAAAATATCAACAGGATATATCAGCAATGAATTATTACAGCATAGACAGAGTAATAGTTGACACACCTTCTGAATATCCTCCCTGAGAACAGGCTCCAAATGTTCTAGGGGAGTCTGCCACAAAATGAAAGTCGATTGAAATTGAAACTCAGACATTACTGAAGTAATAGCAGTATCTTAGAAGTTAAATTCGTGATTATTATAATGAAATTGCACCTTGGTTTTGTCACGTATAACAAATAACAATGTTGTTTTACGAGGGCTAAACAATCGCATCATGACCTGTTATTGGACGAAATACAACAAAAGTGAACAACTGAAACTACCAATATACTACATGGTTGAATCAAAGATACATACAACTAAAACATACTTGGAACACTGTCTTCAAAAGGGGCTTGTTTGCAGCTTGTTCACGACCAATATCATGACACCACCTAAGATATCAAGGCATGTCAGAAAATGCACTGACATTTTAGTTGAATTGTACTCAAGGTTTTAAATTATAAATAAAATAGTCATGCCCCATAGTCGATATCAGGCTTACATGTTTATGAGCACTATATCTGAAATTGCCAAAGCAAAAAGGGCACTCTGCTTCTCAAATGCAGTATCATCCTGAGCATATAAATAAGACAGTAAAACAAGGTTGAAAATATCCCAGAAGATATAGAAACACATGATGACTGGAACAAAGACAAGTCAAAGTGTTAGGTATTGGACTATATTCAAAGGATCTGCATAAACAATAAAACCACAACCCAATTGTTTGTTTTTGCCCTAACTCCTGATTAATAACTGATGCATAATGAAATTAAACACTACAAACGAAAACAAAAAAAGATTGAAACAAGTCAACAACTAAGCTGCTACTTACTATCCTCACAAAAGCACAAAATAAGGCATTAAAAAGGTGGTTTTCACTGACCATCCAAAGAAATATTTGCCCTACTCCAACAAGTAGTTACCTAAATAAAACTTAATCAACAACGGCAGCTCTTGTATTCCTGGATTGAGAAGCCAATACAGAATTTTCAAAAGACAAAAAAAATGGAAGTCTGCAAAGTTTCAATAGCAAGTCATTTAAGGAGATTCATGTTCCCAAGGTACAGTATCAACAAATACAACAAATGGAATCTATTACTGAACTTTGATCTGTTAAAAATATTCATCGTTAACCTATTACCAGTGAAATTTGAAGATATCTAATTATAAAGCAACAATTTCCATCTTATTCTAAGTTTCATGCCTGCTTTGCAGGTAATGCACACTAGAATGATTAGTAACTCTACCATAGAGTTGTACGAGATTGTCAATAACAGTAGCTATGATTCTAATCAAGGAAAGTCGTTTCAGATCTGACACAATGTACACCGGTATTACTAGTGACTCAAAGAGGAAGAAGAATGAGAAAAGGAAGGGGTGGTGGAGGAAGATGAGGAGGAAGGAGGAAGGAAGATGAACGAAGAAGAGAAAGCGATGGAGGAAGAGGAAGGAGGAAGGAGGAAGAGAAACGAAGAAGAGGAAGAGGTGGAGGAAGACGAGGAGGAAGGAGGGAGACGAAGAAGGAGAGGAGGCGGTGGAGCAAGAGGAGGAGGAGGAGGAGAAGTGGAGTTGGAACCATATGAGTCGGCAGTGCACAGCAAGTGGCATGCGACAGCAGGAGACTAAACATATGAAAAGGGCTTGCAAACACAAGCATTAAAATGTCTTAATTATTTTTTTAATGGGTTGAAGCAGGCTGTCCGAAACGAGGCTGTCCACATATTGGTTCATGCCCAGACTTTGAACGTACCACCCATTTCGCACCGGTTTGGGCAAAATGGCAGTCCATGCTTCTAATGATGATGTTATCAAGGCTTATTTAGATCCAATCAGTAAATACCTACGTTGTGCACACTCAACTAAAAGACATCACACTAAACACAATATATCGTAGGAAATAGGTACAGAAGTGTGGCAAGATTCAAAAGAAAATGGCTCACATATAATATGTATAATTCCATGCTCATATAGAATACAAAGTGTAGTTCCATAAAGCTCTCTATAATAAATGTTGATATTGCATAAGTTAGATATTTACTTCTCCTCTCTCTCTTCCGTCAGTACCCTCCAAATCCATAACCACTGTAAATGGTTCAACATTAGCGCACTTTGCCAACCAAATGCCTTTAGTAGTTTGTGACCTAAGGAAAAGGGAATTCAGTTAAATACAACTTGAAATGATTTAACTTTATAAATGCTGATAAATCCAAGGCTGAAGAGAGAAAAACTTGCCTTCCTCTAAAAGCATCCATTTCCCTAAAGTTGGTCCCAAACAAATGGTTCAAAAGAGTGCTCTTCCCTGTGGACAAAAGAAAGATTCACTCAGAACCCTACTAGTTAAATGCATCTAATGTTTATGTTTGAAACAAGGAAAAATCTCTAAACTGGCAAAAGCCAGGTGTTGGATTGTGATAGCAATAACACTATGTAGATTACACATACATAAAGTAATTTACACAATACATAAGTTGAAGACTGCATTTCCAAATAGATGTCAAAACATTCTTCCTTGCTAAATGAACTTTGGAAATTTTGTAGTATGAGAAATAATTCCAGATTCTCAGAAGAGTCACCAGCTTAATTATAAAGTTTGTATAGGCTGGAGGAAATTAATGTAATTATTTTGCATAAGGCAACAGCTTTAGTAAAAGGACAGGCAGGTTAACCAGGCAATAACAAATGCATATGCTGGTAGTTTAAGTGAGAGACTCAGAAAGACAGAAATCACTAGAAAGCATGGGTACCATAGGTTGACATTGCCAAGGTTAATCTCTCAAGGAGTTGAAGTCTATGAGAACTGTTCAAAATCTAATGCCATTCACCTCACATGCAATTATGAGTTATTAAAATTGTAAATCCTTGAACCAAATTGTCCTGAGCATGTAATGTGCAGGAAACTTTCCTAGGCAATATTTCCTCAGTTATATCCATATTTCCAATAATGAACAATGTAGACAGCATAGTATGCTTTCAGACAATTTGGGAAATAACAAACCTAACAGAAATAGGGTACAGTGTCCTACCTTTACCAGAGGTGATTCTTTAATGAAGCAATTTTGGAGAAAGGCATTAAATAAAAAATGTATTTTCAGTAGAGGGTTCATTCTTCTTTCTGTAAGCAATTAAACCATTCAGTATCAGGCTATTTTCTAATACCTACAGTGAGCATTTTCATTTAGGTAACAGCATCTATCAGTCACAGCTTTTACAAAGCCAGCCATCCTAGACAAATGGAATATAATCCCTCAAACATCAACATAGGCAGTCAACCACATCAACTGATAGGAGTAGGAAGCCTATAATTGGTTCAGCTGATTCAGGATTAAAATCAAAAACAGAAAACAATAACATTATTAAAAAAATCACAAGAGAGTTTAACAAAGAAGAAGTGATAAGATAAAACAAGGGAGTTATGCAACAAGAATATAACAAAAGCAATAACCAATAGAAGTTCAAAAAACCCATAGTCATACCACTACTTTGTGGACCCATTATAGATACCACTGCATAGGACAGTCCACATTCAGCCAGCTTCACCGAATTCATGAAATGTTCAATGCCAGCAACATTGAATACGCCATCACCATCAAGAAGTTGAACACAACAACCACCTTCACCCATATCTAGAGGGGAAAATGATGTAAGATTCAATTGTCTATAATTTCACACTGCCATGTAGAAAGCCATTATGGTCCTATTTAAAAAGCAGACAAGAAATGTTGAAACAAAGGAAAAAAAACAACCAGACGAAGGGACATAATACTTGTCAGAATAGCCTGGCATATTAACTCTTAAGCAACAAAGTATCCCCAGAAAACCGGAAGATAATCAATTAACCACAGTATAATACAATTAATTAGAATAAGAACAATGAAAAAAATATATCTGAAAGCAACAGAATTTCATCAACCAAATTGTTTGAACTCAATATTAAAATTTAATTATTTGATATTTAGAATAGCCTCTTTTTGTTAAAAGATATCCTCAAGGACTTCGTTAGATGCAAATCAACAAAAACAAAGAACGATTGGTCATTGTATACCATCTTAGAAAGACCTTAAAAACAACAGATGATCACACTGAATCCTACTCTTACTATAACACTGATAGACATCATGCTCGTGAGAAATATATACTTTATCCTTTCCCAAGAAAATCAACTAAATTTAGTTAGAAAATCCTAATAATCACAAAGACTCAAGTAAAAGAAACTGGTAATCATGAAATTTATAAGCTGTAAGATTGCAATGGAAAATCAGCAAAACATCAGGATCATAGGATTATTGCTCCTGAAAAATGAAAACAAAAGAGAACCAGTTGCATATTTGACTATCAACTTCTGCTAATCTCATAATTTCCTAAATCGACTAAAAAGAGTTCAGTTAGTTTGAATCGCATTTATATTGGAAAGTCAGTTATCTGTTTGAGGAAGTATACCCATGCTCATATTTCAAACCAGTTCGTAATCTGTAATCAAGAACTAGAGGGAGTACAAAAATTCAGGGGCAAGTCATAGCAATTGTCGCTTCAGAAAGATTCCCTGGTTTTGAAAAGAGAATTGTACTGGAACCGACAATGGAGAAGGGCACAAACTAAACATACGTTCGGAAATATGTGTACTATCTTCGTGATCAAAACATGCTTAAAAAAGATACCTCAGGCACAAACTCTAGCGTGGGCAACTTCCACGAAGTTGGAGAATGAATATAGAGTAATCAAGCAAGATTGTTGCTCTTGGTCTCTCTGATGATTATACCAATTAAGAAAAATTATATTCAACAACCTCATAAACTTGAGGTCCTACAAATAAACAACCCCGTTATGCCAGCACCACTAGACTACAAAGGTCAAGAGAATCACAAGCACTACTGCCTGCATTTATGTGATATAAGAAAACAAGATAGCCATCCAAGTTATCACCAACTTCGATCAGTTGAAGATGAGAAGCACTGAAGTGTGTAACGTGATCTGATCATAAGAAAGAGAACAAGAAAATAATACGAGACTGGATGCAAGGTTTTCAGACTTACCAGTAAGAGAGGGCAAAAAAGACGATTTCAGTAAAGAAAACTTGACAAGGAATCACCAATTAGATCGTAACAAATATCCTTCTGAACGACGAGGCATTATCAAAAGCCGATCCACGATTACGATCAAAACCAGTGAACGAAATAAAGGTCAAAATAATCGACTGCCGCTCCATCGGATCGACAAAGCAAATGAAAGCACCGATCCAATCAGAAGAAGAAGCGGCTGAGTTCGAAGCCTTGCCTGCGAGCGAAGGGGAGGTTGGTGGGGATCGAGATACGGGGAGCCGACCGACGAGGGAAGAGGAAGAAGGAAAGACGACTACGACGATGACAGATCCAGTTACTTCGACCGCGGCTCCCTCGTCCTCTTAAAAACAACTTACAAAACAAATCCATTCCCTACTAATTATTTTTTCGAGGTAATTTTATTGTAATCTTAATTATTATTATTAGGCAATTTTAAAAAAAATCCTTACTTTTTGAAATTTCCCGTAGAGGGTCTAAAAAATCAAAAATAATTTTTAAATGACTCTTTTACCCTTATCGACCTCTGTCCTTCGCTTGTCGCCTGATCCCTCTCCTTCACTCGGAACAGTTGCTTACAGACATGCCCACAACTCTTATTATCAACTGTAATGGAAAAAAGAAGGAAGCACGTTGTCAACTATGGATGAGGAATGAGAAGAGGCGATCACATACCCTCACTGTTAACCGTAGGGAAGCAAGGGAGAAAAAAGAGAAGGGAGGGCGAAGAAGAGATTCCATCATCGTTTCATGCAAGAGTCATAGGTCGGATGTGCAACTATTGGACTAACGATGTCAGTTGAGATAGCTCTCGCGAGCAATGGGTTTTATGGCTAGATGTGTTATTTCAAAAAAATTTAAAATAAAAATATTCTGTACAAAATTTAAAAAAGAAATTTTTTTGAGAAATTCGCCCATTATTATTTACATCGTCATGTTATTATTATACTGATTCGGTCACATTTTTGCTAACCTCAACTTCCCGACTGAAAATTACTTTTAATAAAAATCTCATATAAGTACATCGAACGAGGCAAATATAAAGCGTGTCTCTGCGTATAATCCAGAGAGGTGGTTCCCACAGCAGGCACCGACTGACCGACCAAACAACCGCCCACCTGTCCCAATTCCACCCACGCCTTTCTCGCCATCGGATCCCCCTCGTTCGAGCCACACAATTGCTGCATCAGCTTTCATTGGCCGCAGCTGGGGGGCCGACGCTAGAATCACCAGTAGGCAAACTCACGCATTCCAAGGCGGGTGGATCGGTGGGTAGTATACAATGGGCAGGCAAAAGATTTATGTTTTCTGGCGGTACTTCTTACGCGTCTCACCCACGCATCGCTCTAAGAATCGGACCTTATTCAGCCCATCTTGACTCGACCGGCCCAGAGGAGAAGGAACACCTAATGGTCACTCCCCATTACCTCGTGGCACAAAACTATTGGATCGCAGGTGAGTTCCTTATGATAACATACGTTAAATAATCCTCAGCGTTAAAATTAACAAAATCCCCAATATTAAACTTTCATCAGATGACGTCCCTTAAATGATTTTTTATCTAGGAACACCCCTCTTTCATCAATTTGACGAAAACACCCCTCCCCTTCCACAGCAACCACTGTCACCCCTTTTCTCCCATCGCGAGCGACGCCATCCTCTCCTCCTCCCTCGGATAAGATTTCCCCAATTATATGAGGAAATCTTTTTATTCTGTTTATTTTGTTGAGGGAAATCCTTCATCCTAATCTGTATAAATAGGAGAGGGAACATATTAATAAATTCAAGCTAAAGTTATTTCATTTCTATAATAAAGCTTCTTTAATTATTGTTCTTATTTTCTATTATTTCTATTATGGTATCAAAGCAGTGAGAAAAGCGAAGCTTCGCTCTTGCCTTTGGCCAGCGACCAACGTCGCTGAGAAAAGCGAAGCTTCGCTCTTGCCTTTGGCCAGCGACCAACGTCGCTGAGAAAAGCGAAGCTTCGCCCTTGTCTTCGGCCAGCGACCAACGCCACTGTAGCCACATTCCTGAGAGGCTTCAGGACGCTTCAGGACTTAAGGGCGGATGTAAGGAGAACGAAGGGAACGCCTGTGTCCTCACAGCAACAGCAATCGCAACAGCAACAGCGATCTACTCTTGCCCTACTCACGAAACCTCTTGCTTTAAACCTTTCTTTGCAGGAGCACCATCTTGCGGGAGCATGATAAAAGATAAGATTTTCCCAATCCCCAATTATATAAGAAATTTTTTTTATTCTGTTGAGAGAAATCCTTCCTCCTAATCTGTATAAATAGGAGAGGGAACATGTTAATAGATTCGAGCTAAAGCTATTTCATTTATATAATAATTCTTCAGTTATTATTTTTGTCTTCTATTATTTCTATCAGCTGGCCTCGTGCCCTCACAGCCTGCCTAGTGCCCTCGTCGCTTGCCTTTCGACGGGGTCCGATGAGCGGGGCCAGAGGGCTCCGGTTTTCGATCCTGAGGAAGAGGGAGCGGTGGATGGCGGCGCAGGCAGCGATCTCCCCATCTTCGATCGCAGGGAAGGTGGAGATGTTGCCGCGGTGGCCGCAGCCTTGCTGAGGGAGGCGGGCGACGAGGGCCCCAACAGTGGAGGCAGCGCGGGCGGCGGGTGAAGAAGAGAAAGGGGAAGGGAGGGGCAGGGGAAGGAATGAGAGGGCGACGCTGCTCGTGATGAGAGAAGGGGTCGACGGAGACGACGGCGGTCGGCTGAGACGGCGATGGCAATCAGAGGCTTCTGGTGGAGGCGAAGGACATTTTCATCAAATCGATAAAATTGTGGTAACCCAAGTAAAAATCATTTAGGGGAGCATTATCCGATAAAAGCTTAATATTGGGTTTTTTTAAGGTTTTACCCAATAATCCTCGCTGTTGTACTGCCGAATAAACGGTGTCACGTGTGTTCCTGACTTGAGAGTACACGCAGGTGGGATCCCAACGACAGCTTTCACGCCTTTTTCTCCCTCTGTCACGGTGCAAAGCGAAGAGTATGTACTATAATAATGAGGAGGCTGCTGGATCACTCCTGACCGGCAGTTCGCTATAGTGTTTGAATTGCGTCGAATAGAGTGGACCGTCACCGGTCCCCGTGACAAGGGCTGTTCTCCGGTGGCCCTGCGGTGTTGTAACTGGGGAATCGATTGGGGCTTGGATCTCCGGTAGCTGCTCTCGGCTATGGCAACAAGGGCTGGGGAACCAAGTGCCCAACGTGCGGATGTTCTCTGAGACGAGATATCCAGATACAGCCAATATCTAGTGGTGCAGGGATCTGCGCCTATTGCTCGGCGACTCAGCATCAGTTGCTGGATCAACGGTGAAAGAAATGACAGTCAAAAATATATTTCATGAAAGAAAAAAAGCACATTTTGGATATTTCATATTTCAATATACATTCTTATTAAAAATCATTATTTTTAATCAAAACTCAAGCAATTTAACTTAACCGAATTGATTTCAGCGTTCTTGAATTGAGAATACACTCTCAACGAGAGTCAATTTCCTTAAATTCTCATCATTCTTGGGCGAATGATATGGTTGGACCATTGATAAGGTATATTCTGGATCGTCATGTCGTCACGTCACACCCATGCGGATTCAGCACAAGGGTTGATTTTCTCTCATGTCGAATCAGAGCCTATACAAGAGGGCATCCTCTCGACAAGTCACATCCCAGAAAGCTTGAGACGGTGCTGCATAGCGTTGTTCCATGCATACCGGGCGACGATTGCATGAAAGTACAAACTCACCCCTTGGGGGATTGGTTTGTCACACCAAACCCGTGTACGATCAATCTTCAGACAATAGTATAAAAGCCTTTGACCGGCATTTGACTAGGGGATAGAGAAAAAAGAAAGAAAAAAGAAACCACTGACTTAATCTACGAGGGGCCAAAGTCGAAAATCTCCGAACCAGGGCATTTGTGCAGGAACGTGACCACCCCCGAACCAACTCAATCCCTCGTTGGAGAGACAACCACCCTGACCCCTGATCCAGCTCAGCCTCGATGCTTCTTCCAACTGACCGAGAAATGTGCCCCCGAATACCGAGAACTCTTGACATCGACCCGAAAACCAAGCCACTAATAGCGTGTGAGTTCACTATCAACCATCATCTCAAGTCATCGTCCGGCAGTGCTGCGGTATCGGAAGCAATACCATAAAAAACTTGACAATGTTGATGAGCAAACGAGGGCAACTCGTCAAATAAATATATTTTTTTTATTTACACGTTGAAATTTATAGTGACCTTTTCTTGGTGGTACACGAATGTAGCTCGCTCACCCAGGTGACTCCAAGTGAGATCAATCGACTCGAAATCGCTTGATCCATCCAATTTTGCGCAACACAAACGGGACTAACTATGCAATTGGGTTAGTCTGATTCACCAATTCGATTTGGCACAACCATGGTTTTGATACACGTGCCGTGTACGACCACTCATCGGTGGTTCAGGTTTGGTTCAAGCTCGAGTCTAATTTAACGGATGAGTCGTTGCCAAACAAATGTCGTCGAGCCGGACCGTTATTACCGGGACGCTCCTAAAACCCGACTCTTTTGTAGCCGAGTCACCGAGGACGGGAATCGGGAAAAGACCGTCTGCGTCTTTCCTTTTGGAGTTCCTCTTCCTCCTCTTTCCGCGAAACGATCGAATCGTGCGAGTGAGCTCGATCGGACCCTAATCCTTGGGAGCTTCTCAAACCCTCGGCCATGGATGCCAAGGACATCCTCGGACTCCCCAAGAACCCGTTCCCGGCGACCCAGGAGAAGAAACCCCGGCCTCAGAAGGAAACTCAGAGGAAGCCCGATGGCGTTCACCGGGAGGTAAACCATCGCCCCCGCTCTTCTTCCCCTTTCTTCCACTTGGAGTTTGAATTTTGTCGTCCTCCGTCTTGTTGTCTATTTGGTCGCCTCATTTACGAGTTTCTTTTGGAATCTAGGTTTACGCGCTTACAGGAGGAATGGCGCCGTTGATGCCCACGATCGAGGTTTCTCACCTGAAGAAACGACAGAATACGGAGAAGGAGAAGGTAATAAAGCTTAGTCACCTTAGAATAGTTTGATTTTCTTTATTTTTGTTTGATGTTTTAGAAAATTAGGTTAGGGTTTTTATATCAGTACATGCTCTTATCCAGACATCAACTCGAGGGTTTTTGGGATTACACTTTCGTGATAATGGAGCTATTTGTTCTCTGTTTACATACCAACAAGATTGGTCACTCTTCTTGCCAGAACTAGGAACGTTTCTTTTTGGTGGCAGATAATCAAGATGCAATATAAGTGGTTGCACGGAGGAATCTGAACTTCTGTAGATTACCATTCGG